GAATCTATGGTGTTTTCTTAAGAAATTGAACATAAAATAACCACTGCTAAACTAACAAATAAACAAAAATGTATAAAAAATCTACGAAATACACTAAATTTACAATAAACTCCTCTAAAATTAAACTGTCTCATCTTAATTATAACCTAGATCCATATTCCACAAAATAATAGCAATTATTAGTCAACTAATTTCACCAAACATATGGCCCCTCTCAGTCCCGAAGCATGAAGGAAGAAGGCCTCCCCTCAATTGTCGGGTCATGATCACACCCATACCCTTCTATAAAAAAAAAGGGAGAATCCACATGATGTCAAATAAGCTGCAAAAGTTATGAATTCTCTACTTTCCAAAAACTACATCTCTCTTGCGAAATTTTTTTGAAATGCTTTGTACAACTATATAATTTTTTTAATAACTTAAGAAAAATCACTTGTCAGTAAATTCAATGCAATACTCACGGCTATCCAAAATTTCGATATATTGAAACGAACTATGCCTTTTTTCCTACTTTTCTCACCCTAGAATCTAGGCTATAGATAAATGCACATATCGGAACAAATTCGTATATGTGGAGTAAAGCGGTTCAAGAGATACCTGTGCAATTTGATCAGTACCTCGACGTTTCAAGAGCCAGCAATGTTTCTTTGAGTGACGACAAGAAGACTCAAAAAAAAAACTCATAACTCATCCTCAACTCCAATGGCTTTTCTCCAATAAATGGCTATAGGTGGTAGAAAACCACCAATGGTAGCACCACCCAACTCCAGAATTACCACATCCTACACACTGATAAACAAATTAAATGAAATACTCAAAAGATATACCCACATCATAAACCATTTTAGTTATGTGCCACCACCATATCATAGATTGTAAAAAAGCGTAAGATATTAACTGGTCCTGGTCCAAAATCTTGGGAAGAAACAAAAGGCCACTACGAAACAATCCACAATAAAAGTATGCTATGTTACATATTGAAGGTCAAATCCAATATAATAGATGCAGTAGCACTAATGTTAGCAGTATAAAATCAAAATGTAACATTTTATAAAAGCAGTCGTGGTAGCACTATGGATTTAGTTACACATTAAAGGTAGGTATTACATCAAACCCAACAGTCCATCAACTACATTAATGATTGAGTTCACAAATGTCAAAACAATCGATAAAGAGAATACAATTTAGAGATTGACTTCGAAGTAGCACAAGTTAAAGGTACACGGGAAGGAGAAAGGACCACAAACCTGCACAGAAACAGTTAGCATTGTAGCGATGGGGAAACGTATGTTAGAAAAGGATATCCATATTGAAGAAGAAAAGATGTCCATGGTGCATAGATGAAGTCAACAATAAAAACAAAATAACAAAATCAATTTAAAGCACACATGAAGAACTTAGTTTCGATGACCATAACTAAAGTCAATAATATCGGATTTCGCAAACACGACTTGGACCCGAGTTAATTTTAAATCCGAAAATAACTAAATCGGATAAACCAATCTTAAGATCAGCTAACACAAATATTCACTTGGTGCATTTTATCAAGCAAAAGAGATTAAAAAGCATAAACAATGAGCCCACTGTCTATCAGCAAAGGACTGAAGGAACTTTTTGAAACAAAAAAAAATCGGTTTGATAATTTATCGAACATGGGGTTACGATTGTGGAAAGAGAGAGAGAGAGAAGGAGATGATTGAGGGAGATGAGCTGGTGACAAAGAGAAAAGAGATGAGTGAGAGAGAGGGGGGAGATGATTGAGAAGGATACCTAAAATAGGCGGTGGCTGGACAGCTGGCTGTCGTTGGCAATGAATGTGCAATGGCACAGAGAGAGAAGGGATAAAGGGCGGTTGTCGCTGGCGGTGAACTGAGAGAAGAGATAAGTCACTGCTGGGGATTGGGCAATAGCACAATAGGGAAGAATGTAGAGAGAAAATAGAGTTAGGGGGAGATGATCATAAGCGCATAGAGAAAGATAGATGACCAGAGAGAAGATAAGTGAGAAAAAGAGAATATGATTGAGAAGGATATCTGAAATAGACAATGGTTGGGTAGTTGCTGGCCGTCATTGGCAGTGGATCAATGTTATCAGAACCGGACCGGTCATTGAACTAACTAGGAGACTGGGTCAATGGTTCACTTGTTCAACCGATGGGTCAACTAGTCGGACCGGTCATATAATAAAAAAATAAAAATATATATACAATAATTATAAAACATCATTTTTCGGAATTAAGTCATTTAGGAATTAGTAATTGCCACACTTTTCCACATACATTCAAACTCAAGACTCAAGAGAAAGACTAAACCGACAACAAAGAAACAACCCCACCACCCAAACCCCTCACCCCCGAAACAAAACAGAAGAAACCAACAAAAGACTATTGAGAAGAAGATTAAAGATCGGGGAAGATTGAGGTTTTTTTCTTCAAAATCTGAAATAAAGAAAGGGCATTTATCAGGAAGGGGTAGGGATGAATGAACCCTGCAGTTCTTGACAAGATAATCCAAAGGTTAACCGAGTTCCGATCTTCCAAGCCAGGGAAGATAATGCAACTTTCGAAGTCAGAAATCAAGCAGCTATGTGTTGCCTCTCACGACATCTTCATGAAATAGTAAAATCTTCTTGAACTTGAAGTACCCATCAAGATTTGCGGTATTCGTAATTAAGTCATTTAATTTTTCATTTTTCATCAAATCGTACGGTTTTTATAAAATTGCCTGTTCATGGTTTTTTGAAAAACCAGTCGGTTTTTCAGTTTTTAGCTAGTACAATTAAGGGACCGGACCGATTAAGGCTACTGGTCACGGTTGAACAGGTCAGACTGGCCGGTCCAGTCCAGTTCTGAAACCGGACCGATTAAGACTCCTGGTCACGGTTGAACAGGTCAGACCGGCCGGTCCAGTCCAGTTCTGATAACACAGTAGTGGATATGCAGTGGCACAAAGAGTGAAGAATAAGAGGCAGTTGTCGCTAGCGATGAACTGAAAGAAGAGATTTGTCATTACTAGGGATTAGACAGCAGGGCAATAGAGAATAAGGTAGAGAAAAAATAGTGGTAGGGGGAGATGAACATGAGTGCATAGAGAGAAAGAGATGGACGAAGAGGAGATGCATAAGACAGAGAAAGAGGAGATTATTAAGAAGGATACCCGAAACAGGTGGTGGTTGGGGTAGCTGCTTACTGTCGTTGGTAGTGGATGTGCAGCGGCATAGAGAGAGAAGAGATAAGCGGCAGTTGTCACTGGTGGTGAACAGAGAGAAGAGATGCGTCACTTCTGCAAATTAGGCTGCGACATAATAGGGAAGAAGGTAGAGAAAAAATAGAGTTCGGGGAGATGATCATAAGCGCATAGAGAGAGAGGGGGGACAGAGAGGAGGTGCGTGAGAGAGAAAAGACGATTGAGAAGGATACCCAAAATAGGTGGTGGTTGGGTAGCTGTTCGCTATCATTAGCATTGGATGTGCAGCACAAAGAGAGAGAAGAGATAAAGGGCAATTGTCATTGGTGGTGAATCGATAGAAAAGTTGCATTACTTTTGGGGATTGGGCAGTGGCACAATAGGGAAGAAGGTAGAGAGAAAATAGAGTTCTGGGAGATGATCATAAGCGCATTGAGAGAGATGGACGGAGAGGAGATGCATGAGAGAAAGAAGAGATGATTGAGAACGATACCTGAAATAGGTAGTGGCTAGACAGCTACAGACTGTCGTTGGTAGTGGAATGCAGCGGTGCAGAGAGAGAAGAATAAGAGGCAAGACGAGATAAGTCACAACAGGGGATTGGGCAGCGACGCAATAGAGAAGAAGGTAGAGAGAAAATAGAAGTAAGGGGAGATGAACATGAGCGCATAGAGAGGAAGACGGACAAAGAGCAGATGCATGAGAAAGAGAGAAAGAGATGATTGAGAAGGATACCCAAAATAGGTCGTGGCTAGGTAGCTATTGGTTGTCGTTGGCAGTGGATGTGCAGCGAGACAGAGAGAGAGGGGATAAGGGGTGGTGAACCTAGTGAAAAGATACACCACTTCTTGTTGTTGAAGGCTTAACTGCGGGGGATTGGACAGTAGCGCAATAGTGAAGAAAGTAGAGAGAAAATAGAGATAGAGGGAGATGATCATGGGCGCATAGATAAAATGAACGTGAGAGAGGGGGAGAGAATAGCACACAACCATAGGTCTTAGTTTGGAAAGCATATTTAGGAGAGAGGAGGAGATGATTTGAGAGAGACATGCGAGACAGAAATTGAATGTAAGAGAGCTCGACTAAGAAAGGAGATAAAAGGAGAGACACTGAACAAATTTTGGTGAAGCCTTGGGCAGTGATTGAAGACCTGATGATGGGTAACAAAATGGAAAATTTAGGTAGGAAAAAATATTTCTAGAATCATTCTGGTTCATTGAATTAGTAATTTTGAGATTATCTGAACTATTTTTTATGTTGGGGTAACGTAGTCCGTTGAATGACAATTTATTTTATCTTGAAACGATCTGAGCCGTTTTTGAATCTTTTGATTCAAAAACGGCTCTACTTTATTATATAGATTAGTAGTAACGGAAAGCATTTGCTGCTCAACATTGGGTTTGGCTACATATATTTTTTGGGCACCACTTTGCCATGTATCATGTGATATCCAAGGATGACAATTCTATGTTAAGATAAAAAAACAACTCCGTAAAAAATGAAATGCTCTACAAGCATGTATTTATTCTTTACTATAAAGCAAATCTTGGTCAATTAAATAGAGACTTATTACCTTAGGTGGTGCGTAGCAAAGCACGTAGAAACAATGACAATACCTCTTAGGATCAGACACATGACAAACACAAGACCTTTTCGGCTGGTAAGTTCTAATAACAACTCCTGAATTCCTTCCTCTACGGTCAAATTCAATCTCCATAAGCTTACCGAAATGACTGCAATGTACATAAAATGAAGAGATAGAAGGAAACTATTCAACCAGATAATATTAGAGAAACTTTGCGACATATACAGAAATTAAACCATAAATGCAAAATGTTCCCACCTGGAGTTGTTGTTTCTGACTGCAGTTACATTGTTTCTGACTGTATTTGCATTACCGAATGTTCCTAGAACCGGATTTGACTGCAAAACAAATGGAAACAAGGCCAAAACACATATTGTACACATTTAAAGAACTAAATTATGTGCTGAAAGATCTAAAATCTGGCTTCAGAATGAATCAGTCCCTCGTCTAAGCATGTTGGACTGGTTGAAATGCAAGGCTGACCTCCAGGACTTGCTGCTTGACAGTCCTCCTCTCAGATGCAGCTATGCCTCCCAAATAAGCAAAATGTTGGGAGAAACTTTGCGACATATACAGAAGTTACACCGTAAATGAAAAATGTTCCCACCTGGAGTTGTTGTTTCTGACTGTATTTGCATAACCGAATGCTTCTAGAATCGGATTTGACTGCAAAACAAAGGAAAACAAGGCAAAAACACATATCGTACACAATTAAAGAACTAAATTATGTAGTGGAAGACCTAAAATCTGGCCTCATAATGAATCAGTCCCTCGTCTAAGCTTGGTGAAATGCAAGGCTGACCTCTAGGACTTGCTGCTTGACAGTCCTCCCGTCAGATGCAGCTCTGCCTCCCATGAAAGCAAAATACCGCATGAGCAATTTTGTGCTTTCCGTTTCACTTGCTCCACTCTCGCCACTGACCAAAATTGACTAACTAATTCCCTAATTGATCATAACTCTGCATCCACATAACTGGCCTTAATCATCATAACGCAAAGGGAAGACAAAGAAATTATAAACTCGTGATTGTGACAACATACCTATATGCTGCATCCGCAAAAGCAATAGGGTGGGACTGGGGGCTCAATTCACCAAAGACTGCCCCTTTGTACTGCGTCATCATATGACTATCGTATAAACGAGGCAATTTTCTGAAAAGATTCACAACAATAAATATATTTCTTGTGCAAGTCTGGAAACAATATCGAGTTGATTAGCTTCAACACGTTTTATTTAAATAGGAAAATGTTGAAACAGATGCTTCCAAAATCAAATGAAGTGTGGGAAATACTTACATATATTTCATTGACATCATACCTCAAATTTAAATTATGCAGAACTCCCGGCTAATGCAAATAAGCCAGCTCTGTCCTACCATCCACTCCACTTGGTGGTGCTTCACCATCTTCTGGATAAATACAAAAAGTGTTAACAACCACCTCTAACAGAAATTTAACACAAGAAAGAAAAGACCAAATTCAATGAATCTTCCATCTCTGCATATTTGTTTCTTAACCAATAAAAATACCTAGAATAATTTGATGGAAATAATTTGATAAAAAGTTGTTGGACAAATTTCCACTTGTCAAAATTTCCTTCAAAGCATAAAATAATAGAAAAAATGAATTAAAAGTTGATATTCAGCATTTTAATAGTAGCAACCATTTGAAGCAAATTCACCTGTTTATCTTGAAACTCTCAAATCCATATATATCCAACACACCAATTAAGTATTTTGAGTCTGAGTCTTGACCAAATGAACTATGGATTTTATCCACAAGCCTACAGCATGGATATATCTGTACAAAGGCATAAGCAAAAACTACATTTAGATATTCCAAAAAATTTGGGGGTACAAAACTTAAAATAGGAACGAAATTACTCCAATGACAAGTAGTCAGTAATACACAACTCGTCAAAACATGAAAATGAAGGTTACCAGATAAACAAACATTAGTACACAATTTGCCAAGGCATCTCTGCTGACAACTGGAACGTCTGGATCAAGCCATTTGGTAATGGTTTCATCATGAGTTACAATTACATGTTTGTAGAGGGAATCCTCTACAATATCATAGATTATAGAAAAAGCGTAAGATATTATCTGGTCATGGTCCAAAATGTTGGGAAGAAATGAAAAGTCACTGGGAAACAATCCACAATAAAAGCATACTATGTTACATTTTGAAGGTCGGATCCAATATAATAGATGCAGTAGCACTATGTTAACACCATAAAATCAGAATGCAACATTATATAAAAACAGTAGCACTATGCTAACATTATATAAAAACAGTCGTAGTAGCACTATGGATTTAGTTACACATTAAAGGTAGGTATTATATCAAGCCCAACAGTCAGTCAAATACATTAATGATTGATTTCACAAATATCAAAACAATCAATAAAGAGAATATAATATAGTGATTGAGTTCACAGTAGCACTGAAAAAAGTACACGAGAAGGACAAAGGACCACAAAGCTACACAAAAACAATTAGCATTGTTGCGATGGAGGCTAGAATCACATATAAATGTATGTTAGAAAAGGATATCCATGTTGAAGAAGCAAATATATCCATGGTGCATAGATGAAGTCAACAATAAAAACAAAATAATAAAATCAATTTAAAGCAGACACGAAGAACTTAGTTTCGATGACCATAAATGAAGTCAACAATACCAGATTACGCAAACACAACTTGGACCCAAGTCAATACTAAATCAAAAAAACCAATCTTAAGATCAACTAACACAAATATCCATTTGGTGCATTTTATCAAGAAGAAAAGATTAAAAAGCATAAAAAATGAGCCCATTGTCCATAAGCAAAGGGCTGAAGGAACTTTTTGAAACAAAAAAAAAATATCGATTTGACAATTTATCAAATAAGTGGTACACGGGAGCTGGGAAGACAAGAAAGGGTTGTTGAGTGGGGTTATGATTATGGAGAAAAATTGAGAGAAGGAGATGATTAAGGGAGAAGAGATGCGTGGCAAAGAGAAAGGAAATACGTGAGAGAGAGAGGAGATGATTGAAAAGGATTCCTGAAATAGGTGGTGGTTGGTCAGCTATTGGCTGTCGTTGGCAATGAATGTGCAACGGCACAAAGAGAGAAGGGATAAGGGGCGGTTATCGCTGGCGGTGAACTGAGAGAACATATGCATCACTACTAGGCATTCAGCAGTGGCACAATAGGGAAGAAGGTAGAGAGAAAATAGAGTTAGGGGTAGATGATCATAAGCGCATAGAGAGAGGGAGAGATAGGCTGAGAGGAGATGTGTGTGAGAGAGAGGAGATGATTGAGAAGGAATAAGGATACCTGCAATAGGCGGTGGCTGGTAGCTGCAAGTTGTCGTTGGCTATGCAACAGCACAGAGAGAGAAGAATAAGAGGCAGTTGTCGCTAGCGGTGAACCGAGAGAAGAAATTCATCACTACTAGGGATTGGGCAGCGACGCAATAATGTAGAAAGAAAATAGAGCTATAGGGAGATGAACATAAGCACATAGATAGAGAGAGATGAATGGAGAGGAGATGCATGAAAGAGAGAAAGAAGAGATGATTAAGAAGGACACCCAAAATAGGTAGTGGCCAGATAACTGCTCGCTGTCATTGGCAGTGGATGTGCAGCCGCACAAAGAGAAAAAGGAGATAAGGGGCAATTGTCACTGGCAGTAAATGGAGAGAAGAGATGCATCACTACTTGTTGTTGAAGGTTAACTACTGGGGATTGAGCAGTGGCGCAATAGTGAAGAAGGTAGAGAGAAAATAGCGATAGGGGGAGATGATCATGGGTGTATAGAGAAAGTGAACGTGAGAAAGGGAGAGAGAATTTTAAGGCACAACCATAGGTCTTAGTTTGGAAAGCATATTTAGGGGAGAAAGGGAGATGATTGGAGAGAGACATGCAAGTTAGAAATTGAGTGTAAGAGAGCTCGGTTAACAAAGGAGATAAAGGAAAGACACATTGCAGATTTTGGTGGAGCCTTGGGGAGTGATTGAAGGCTTGACTAAGGGTAAAAAAATGGAAAGTTTTAGGCGGGAAAAAATATTTCTAGACTCATTCTGGCTCATAAGATTAGTAATTTTCAGATGATCTGAACCACTTTTTATGTTGAGGTAGCGTAGCTTGTCGAATGACCCTTTATTTTATCCTCAAATAATCTAAGCCACTTTTTGTCTTTTGATTCAAAAACAACTCTACTTTATTATATAGTTTAGTAGTAACAGAAAGCATTGCTGTTCAACACTGGGATTGGCTACATATATTTTTTCGGCCTCCACTTTGTCATGTATAATGTGATATGCAAGACAACTCCATAAAAAATGAAATGCTCTACAAGCATGTATTTATTCTTTACTATAAAACAAATCTTGGTCAACTAAATAAAGACTTGTTACCTCGGGTGGCGCAGAGGAAAACATGTAGAAGCAATGATAGTACCTCTTAGGATCGAACACTTGACAAACACGAGACCTTTCCGACTAGTAAGTTCTGATAACAGCTCCTTAACTCCTTCCTCTCCAGTCAAATTCAATCTCCACAAGCTTATCGAAATGACTGCAACGTATATAACATGAAGAGATAGAAGGAAACTATTCAACCAAATAATATTAGAGAAACTTTGCGACATATACAGAAGATACACCATAAATGCAAAATGTTGCCACCTGGAGTTGTTGTTTTGGACTGTATTTGCATTACCGAATGCTTCTAGAACCGGATTTGACTGCAAAATAAAATGAAAACAAGGCCAAAACACATATTGTACACAATTAAAGAACTAAATTATGTGGTGAAAGATCTAAAATCTGGCCTCAGAATGAATCGGTCCCCTTGGACAGGCTGAAATGCATGGCTGACCTCCAGGACTTGCTGCTTGACAGTCCTCTCACTGTTTCACCTGGCCTAAGTAAGGAAGATACCGCATGAGCAATTTTGTGCTTTCTGTTTCACCTGCTCCACTCTCACCACTAACCAAAATTGACTAATTGATTCCCTAATTGATCATAACTCTGCATCCACAGAAGTAGCCTTAATCATCATACTGCAAAAGGAAGACAACGAAATCATAAACTCGTGATTGTGACAACATACCAATATGCTGCACCTGCAAAAGCAAAAGGGTGGGACTGGGGGCTCAGTTAACCAAAGGCTGCCCCTTTGTACTGTGCCATCATATGCCTATCGTATAAATGAGGCAATTTTCTGAAAGGATTCACAACAATAAATATATTTCTTGTGCAAGTCTGGAAACAATATTGAGTTTATTAGCTTCAACACATTTTATTTAAATAGGAAAATGTTGAAATAGATGCTTCCAAAATCAAACAAAGTGCAGGAAATACTTACATATATTTCATTGACATCACATCTTGAATTTAAATTATGCAAAACTCCTGGCTTATGCAAATAAACCAGCTTTGTCCTATCATCCACTCCACTTGGTGGTGCTTCACCATCTTTTGGATAAAATACAAAAAGTGTTAACAACAACCTGCAACAGAAATTTAACAAAAGAAATAAAGGACCAAATTCAGTGAATCTTCCATCTCTGCATATTTGTTTCTTAACCAACAAAAATACCTAGAAGATATTGATGGAAATGATTTGACAAAAAGTTGTTGGACGAATATCCACTTGTCAAAATTTCCTACAAAGCATAAAATAATAGAAAAAATGAATTACAAGTTGATATTTAACGTTTCAATAGCAGCAACCATTTGAAGCAGATTCACCTGTTTATCTTGAAACTCTCAAATTCATATATATCTAGCACCGCAATTAAGTATTTTGAGTCTGGGTTTTGACCAATTGAACTATGGATCTTATCCACAAGTCTACAGCATGGATATTATCAGTACAAAGGCATTGGCAAAAACTGCATCTAGATATTCCAAAAAATTTTGGGGTACAAAACTTAAAATAGGAACAAAATTACTCCAATGACAAGTAGTCTGTAATACACAACTCGTCAAAGCATGAAAATGAAGATTAACAGTCAAACAAACATGAGTACACAATTTGCCAAAGCATCTCTACTGACAGCTGCAGCTTCTGCATCAAACCATTTGTAATGGTTTCAACATGAGTTACAAGTACACATTTGTAGAGGGAATCCTCTAAAGCCTTTATGCCACACCTGAAGAATACCAAACAATTCAAAGGTTGCATTCAGTTGAAGTTGCATTTTGTTCTCCGGCAGTGAAAATTAAGTCAAGATATTTGAAAATTCATTTACTTCATTTTAGTGTGTGCCTGTGCCAATGAAATTGATTATTTACACAAACAGCTCCACAACAGTTCTAAGATGAAACCAAGATTTTTCATTTGGGCACGGACGAGTCGATTGTCTTTTCCTTCACAAATTTGATCTTACCAAGATGGAGAATCGCAACCACAA